TTGCTCACACCCGCGGATGGGCACAGCCCTGTCCCTCCCCCTGGGTCTGCCCTTCCTGCTTATCCCCTGGGCATGACGTGCCATGGGGAGGGAATATCCCTTTGGCTGGGTCAGCTCACCTGTCCTGGCTATGCTCCCTCCCAGGTTCTTGTGTATACTCTCACTGGCAGAGCATAAGACACAGGAAAGAAAAATGTCCTTGGTTTAGGATAAACACAACTTAGCAAAACCAAAACATCAGTGTATTATCACTGAATCCAAACACTGCACTAGACCAGCTACTGAGAAAATTAACTCCATCCTGGCTAAAACCAGGACACTCTGAAACACCTCCAGGGATGGCAACAAACGTTTTTCTTGTTACTAACCTTCATTGGACATACAGCTAGGATGCACTGGAGCAGTTTCTGCATTATAGGAAGATCCTGCCTTCAAATGTTTAGCATTTTTAAGTACTTTTTTGAAATGGACTTACTCTGGCAATCTGTGGTGCATCCTTCAGCAAGGAATTGTGTTTTTATTTAACTGGTCCTAAAAGATGCACAATATCTGTTCAGCCATCACAAAAAGCTTCTGCTCTTGCATGAAACTCTTGTAAAAATATTGAGTGCTGAATTAGAATGAAAGCACTCGAACCTGAGATTAGAAGCACAGCTGGTGGTAACTTCAGAGGAAAACATACCCTCGACACGTTCTTAAGTCAAAGACAGTTTGTCACTTGGAGGATTTCACTAAGTTTTACCAAAACTCGTATCTGTTTTCGTTAACAAAAGAACATGTATTTCCATGCTGCATTCCAGAGAGGTTGGAAGTAAATGTGGCTGCATCTCTTTAAATTGTTCAGACGCTCAAATAAATGCACATAACTTACTTCAGTTAACTATTCCCTGGATGTGAGATATTCCTCCAGGGCTTGACCTTTACTTCTGCCACTAGTTCTCTCACTGACAAAAAGATAAGTAGTCGTGTTATTGTCTTAGATTTCTGTTCCCTTCAGGATTTTGCTAGACCTTCCTGAGGTCATATTTACTTTCTTCACTTTCAAAGACTCCAAGTTTAGTGCTCTGGCTTTCTAAAATAAACTCTCTCGATTGGGCAGTTGCCCTCTACTGACCTCTCCTGCTGGTAGTCTCTGCTGAAATGATAAACAGAACTGAGCACAGCACCAGCTCGGATTTTCCAGTATTGTGCTGTTAGAATACTTACCAAAAAGGTCTGTTGTGATCTTTTCCTGTTCCAAGTTGTGGATTTGCTGTTTACCAGTGCTTACAAACACCATTATTTGTTGTCATACAAGCTAAATGGTGCTGAGACTACTCAACCAGTGTTTCAGTCACAGTGGTCTAATGTGTTTGTCTTCTTCAAAGATACACCTTGGAACCTTGAGAACTGTTCTTGGGCATTGGCAGAGTGGTGTATGAGCAGTTAAACTGAAGCCAAGCACCACAACAAGGTCCTCTGCCTTGGAGCAAACCTGGATATCCTCCCTGGCAGAGAGGAAATGAAAACACTTTAACCAAGACATTTACTTATACATTTTGGCAAATAAAGAGATTTTAAAGGCAGGAGAATATAAAATATTAATATACAGAGAGAGAAGGTAACAAGAATGAGACAATAAAAACCTTAACAGGATGAAAATGTGTCTAAAACATCCCAGTACAAGTAGTTTCTTTTATAAAGGAAGTCTTCAACCTCCTGAGCTACATGTGATGCTCATTTTGCACTGGTGTGAACTGATGACTCCAGGTATTTTTATGTCTTTCCCAAACTTCTGTCCAAGGGTCTCGGATTCTCTGACTGCAGACCTGATGTGGTGGTGTAGCACTTGTAGTAAGGGACTGGGCAGTGTAGAATAGGACTTTTCAGCCTGGCCAGGTTTGTGCAAGTGGAAGTGTCTTTGTTTCACTGTGAGAGACAAACTCAAGCATAGAATTTCGTGTGAGACTTGTTTCAGAACAGATTAAGAAAGATTTAATACAGAAGCTGCAGAAGTAGAGAGCAGGGATTTATCTTCTGTTGCCTTCAAAACACTGTCATGAGATAAGCACTTCATGCAATTATCCTCTTCACTCCTGTGGAAAGCTGTTACCCACCCAGGGAAAAGCACTTCCTTTCATGGAATTCTGTGCCTGATTATGGTAATCATGGATTTTCTCTTTTTTCAGTTCCAAACTACAAGAATGGTTTATGTAAAAGAGAATGTTGAATTGGTTGCATCTTACCAGTGATATTGGAAGTGAATGTTAAGTGAAAAGCACAAAAATAAGTGTATTTACCTACAGAATAAGGAGCTGTTACCACTTCAGTTGCTGGTGGGTTGCTGTGTATTCATGAACCCGCTGAAATTTTCTGAGCTCTTGTCTCCATGCACAAACCTCATAGGTTTTAATCAGTTTCACTTTTATTCATGCCGAGGCCAAATTGATTTGGGAGTGACTCATCCTGTGCATTTGCCTTGCCTGTGGAACAGAGATCAGCAGAAGGTTGTATTAACCACCGTTTCAGACGGGGTAAATCTGGGGATTACTGCCTGTCCCTGGGTTCCAGACAAAGTGTGATATCCCTTCTGCACACGAAGGGAGATGTTTGACACATACATGAGGATGTGTTTGTGCACTGCTGGCCTGGAGCATACATGAGGATGTGTTTGTGCACTGCCAGCCTGGAATGATGGTGATGGGCATTGCCCTTAATGGGAGGCTGTTGCTGCCTGGGCAGTGCCATCCATAGTTGACTACTTGAACTGAGCACTGCTCTTAAAATATGCATCAGGTTTTATGCCCTCAATTTCTCCCCACGAAATACTCATTTTCACAGCTTTGAGGAGTATCTTCAGTTCTCTGGAGTTTGTTCAATTAAATGTTTTGCATCTGATGCTGCAGTAGGGCTTGAAGGGCACAGGCCAAGTGGTGGTCTTGGTTTTAAGGCTGCAGCTGTGCTAGGGCTGATGGCAGGGCAGCAGTGTCACACTGCAAAATGTGGCAGGTGTGGTTTGCTTCTCACTGCCTTTATTTCTTTGTTACCTGGGCCTGTGAGGAGCAAATCTGTGCCCATGTGTTTTCACAGGGCCCAGTGCTCAGCTGTGGAGAGCAATCAGCAGCCTGTCGAGGTACTGCTTAGAGTTGCCAAGAAAACAGAGCTATTTCCACTGCAGAAATATTTTCATAGGTCAAAGGCACTGCATGAATGCAGCAAATATTTTTACAGTGCAAATAAACAAGTCTGCATTGGTTTTTGCCATTAACTCTTTCTTTCCACGTGCTCCCCTGACACACCTCTCCCCTCAGTTCCCTTTGTGTGCAGTGTTTCATTTATGGCTTTATTCTGGTGATCATTTCTGTCTGTCTTCTTGTACTCCCTGTTGTGGGAGCTTAATCAGTACCTGTTTGTTGTTTGCACAAAGAATAAGTTGGTATTTTGCCATCCCAACCTTTTTGTAATAGGTAAGTTTACCGGTTAAAACTCTTCTCTGAAGTAATTTGTCCACGTGGCATGCTTCCCACAGCTGGAAACTTGCTGTAGTTTTGGTAGTTAGAAAGCATTGGAGATGGCACTTGTAATGATGTTCTAAGTCTGTGCATGAAGTTAAACCAAAAAAAAGAAATGGATTGACCAGAGAGCTGACTTGGGTGTTTCTGTGGAATACTTGCAGAAATGGCTAAATAATCAGGGTACAGTATGCTTAAAATGCTCTAAGTCACTGTAAAAGTTGATGAAGGTGCAGGTTTGTTCTTTCCACCTGTGTCTCTCTTAAGAAATCACAAACACATCATCTGAAAATACTTTTTTCCTACTTCTATAAATCAAAGGCAGTTCATAGGGTAAAGCAGATATTTTTAATTCTAGGTTACTGCGGAGGATTTCCAGACCTTTGATTACATCCTTTGTATGGATGAGAGCAATCTAAGGTAAGGTATGGAGAAAGGGAACAAATTCTTATGGATTACTTGTAGTGATGCCTTATCAGTTGCCTTGGAGACAGATGTCACATTCCACTGCTTATCTTGTCTTGGGGTGTTTTACATGTATGTGAATGATGTCCTAATAGATGGATCCTTCACTTGTTTCAGTTTAATGAGCTAGAACTCAGTGGTTTATTTGTGTGACACTTGCCACTCAAGGATTAAGGACAGGGAAATTTGGTTTCTTTGTGCTAAGTGCAGCTGATGCCTCTGTAGTGAAGAATGAGAATGTACTTGCAAGTGATCTGTTTTTCTAATTGCACAGCAGCTAAAAGACAGACTGTGGGAGCTTGGAAGGGACTAAATATGGTGTGGTGTTTTTCTTTTTCCAGTAGAAATAGAGTGAGCTGTGAAAGAGGCGAGGTTGGCAGCTGGTGGAGTTGGGTCTCCTTGTCAGCCCTGCTCTGCCTGCTGTGCTTTGGGAAGGTTTGGGGCAGGAGCTGCCTGGGGTGACAATCCCGATATCACCAGCAAAGTTTCCACTCAATTACATCCACACTGAGGGTTAAAGAACTGAGCTTTAATAACTAGGAGGGTCAGAGTGCTTTAAGGGCTATTGTAAAGTTAGTTTCAAAGAACCAGACCAAACCACCACAACCCAGACCAAAACAAAAACCTGCCAGTAGCACATAACTTCTGGAAGCAGCACCACTTAACTAAGTAAGTACTACCTTGTTGAATTTCTGGGATGTGCAGAATGACCTCTGCCACCCCCTCAGGAGTGGGGGCAGTACCTCCTGCCCCCACTGCAGCATTCAGGTGGTGACTGACTGGGCTTACTGCTATTTTCACTGGAGTTCTGGAACGGAAACCCGAATCAGCAAGTCACACGGTGTGAGCTGTGGAGCAGAAGAAACATCAGAACTGTAACAGGGATATTGCTACTGCCATGCTTTAGTTTCACCTCAGACTTACACCAAGGTCAGGCGTTTTCCCTGGGAGTGCTGATTTGCAGCACTGGGAGGAGGGCAGGCTGGTCCAGGGGTGGAACAGAAAAGGAGGATTTGGGACATGCCTTTTCCTTAGTTCCAGAGCCACGTGGCCCTCTCCTGTTCATTAAGTGATGTGCCAAAAGCCTTGATGGGAGTGGTTGGACCTGTCTGTTAGCAGTAAAAGACTAGAGAATGTATTGAAAATCTGGAAATTCAGTCACTAACTTCTGAGGTGATAGAGGAGCCCTGATTTTTCCATAGGCAAACCCAGTATTGTGGTCTCACTGCTGTTTCTAAATGATCTGAAATCAATTTCTGAGTCAGAATTAGTAATTAGAATTTAATTTCTTAAAGCTGATTTGGTTAGGGCTAAGTGTTCACAGGGGTTGGGGTTTTTTTCAATTTTTTATTGGTGAGTAAGTAAATGATGATTTGGTGTGGAGATGTGCAATATCCTCTGGCAGCTCATTGTGAAAATCAGAGTACTGAGCTGCCTGTGACCCGAAGATGGTGAGAAGTGCACTTAACTGCTTCTGGGCTAATGGGTGGCCATGTGTGAGGAGATGGGGAAAATGCTGTCTCAAAACCAGAATGCTTTATCAGTGGGGGCAAGGTAGGAGACAGAGGATGTGACAAGCAATGAAGGGTTACAGTCTGTCAAAAGGAAAACTAGTGTAACTCACTGATTTACCATTTGCTGCTACCTGGAGTAGAACTTCATGTGAGTGAGAGAGAACTTGCAGCTTACCAATTTCAAACACGGGCTCTAAACAGATAGGAGAAGCTTACTCATAGTTCTGGGGAGATACCTGAGTATCTGTTTGTGTTCAATACCAGCTGAAGCAGATAATGAAAATGCTGATGATTGATTGGAGGAAGACGTCGATGAACTTACTGTAACAAAGTTTTGTTAAGCCCTAGGTTGAGTGCCTGACTGTTTATGCTCTGCATTAGGTGTCTGGTTTTGTCCTCCGTTCTCAGCTGAAAAAGACCCCACACAACAAGAAACACACAGGCCAAGCAGCAGCTTGGAGTGCACAGCACTGACTGAGCCCAGCCACGTGTTGTGTTTCTGTGTGGTCTAGAAAGAGTCATGAACATCCTGTGCTGCTGCCAAAATTCGGAAGAAAAATTCAGGGGAGGATTTTATTTTCTTTTTTGCAGAGATCTGAAACGGAAAAGCAACCAAGTTAAAGACTGCAAGGCCAAAATTGAGCTCCTTGGGAGTTACGACCCACAGAAGCAGCTCATCATTGAGGACCCATACTACGTATGTGTGAGACCTTCTTGTGGTGGCTTGGCTGAAAATTGTGTGTGGGTTGTGTGTGATCTTTCCAGGCCCCATGGCTGGCATGTCACATGCCATCTGATGTTGCAGAAAGCCAAGTGTACACATATCTTTTTAGTGACTTCAGAAAGCAGTGTAAGTTACTGGGATGGGAAAGGGAAACATATCTTTCTGCTCACAACAGTTACCCGAGTCATGCAGTGCACCTGTGTTTTCAGTATGGGTGAAGCTCTGGTCAGTCAGACTCCTTGCAAAAGGATGTGATCAGGAAAAATAAGAGAGACATGGACAGAGATGGTCAAAGAGGCTGAATAATACCAGCCAAGAGCAAACCGTTAGATTAAGAGTCTTCAGGAAAGAGAAGTGGGGAAGGTGCAATAGGGTTCTATAAAATCTTGGTGCCGTGGGAAAAGCTGAGTAAGGAATTGCTATTCATTGCCCAAGGAGTAGTGAGTATCAAAAGGTATTGGTGGGAAGCAGGTTCAAAACAGGATTCGTTTTGGTTTGGGGTTTTTCCTGCACAGTGCCTTGTTGGACTGTGAATCTCAACACGGCAGGGTAATGTGAACATAAAGAGAAAAGACTTCTAAGGGCTCCAAAAGTCATGGAACAAGTATGTGAAGGAAGCTCATCCGAGACTGTTGAGTGCAAGGTAACAGTGTTTGTGGAAATCCCTGAGCTCAGGTTAGAGAGAAACACGCAAAAACTATCACCAGGTATTGGCACAGTTTTCACTCTTCCCTAGTGTTGGTTGTTTGCCACTCTGCAGTTTGGTCTTTTGTTAATCCAGTGTTGTTATTCTTACATTCTCCTTCCTCTCTTCTCTCCTAGGGGACTGAAAAGGATTTTGAAACTGTTTACGAGCAGTGTGTCAGGTGCTGCAAAGCATTCCTGGAGAACCCTCATTAATGCTTCATCACTTCGTTTTTACAGGAAAATAATTAGCTGCTCCTCAACATGTAAAACTTACTTAATTGATGTATTTAAATTGTAAAATTATGCCTCCACGTTCAGTACTAACTCAGTTTTAATTTTGTGGTTTAGCTTTTCTGTCCTGGAGTGAGGAATATAGGAAGATTCTAACTGGCTTGCATGATCAGCCGTTTTGTCACACATCAGTGCAGTTGTATCATTCAGGATAGACTGATCTGTCACACTGCACAGGTAACATCTTGCTGTTATGTGCAGTAACATCTGCCTCCTGACTAATCCGAGCTCCTGGGTGTGTTAACTTCAGTCAGCTCCTCAGGGGGAGCCTGGGAGATCCTAGTTCATGTGTGAGGGAGGTGTGTCATCCCAGACACCAGGCAGCCTTGGGGTGGAAGCTGTTTCACTGGAGCCTGCTGGACTGACAGAACTGCTGCCTGACAGACAGCAAACTGCTCTTAGCACTGTTTGAAACCTTAAGCAAGCCAAACCTCTGTGTGCACCATCAGGATCCTGTGAAAATCGCTTACATCAGTTTAAATGTTTAGTTATTCAAAGAAGAAATAACTGTTGCTCTGGTACACTCTCATAATATTTCAGATGGGCCCAGTTCAGAGATTGATTAGGACTTGTCTGTCTAGTCTTCCTTTGCTCTCCTGTCAACCCTAGCACACTGTCACAGGTACACATCACAGTGTTTGCTTTGAGGACAGAGCACACCAGCTTAAAGGCTGAGGTGTGAAATGGTATTTTGTGTCTCATGCCGTAAAGTACTCAAATCCATGCAATGTAATAGATGAGAAATGTGCTCTAATCTCAGTTCCTTGGCGAGTGTCAGGCAGCGTTTCCAGATTTACTCAGGGGAAAGGAGAGCCTGTCAGAAGTGTTCTCAGCATGCAGCTCAACCTGGAGACAGCCCACCTGTAATGTAATACATGTTAACAGAAGGCCAGTAAGTAGAGAGTTCTGCTTTGGACAAAGTGTGAATGCTTTGTGAAAACCTATGCCTGATTGTCTGAACACCTCCTCTCCTGTCTGCCTTACAAGTGTGATGTGCTGAGATCGGCAATGGAACGGTACCATGGTCATTTTCCTCTTTTCAGTAATGGTATGAACTAGCATTTACCACATTATCTGTACAACTGGATCGATAAAATTTGCTTTCTGATTCAGCCTTGGTTTTGTCTCTTTCTGCCTGTTTGCCACGTGCTCACGGTGCTGCATTCCCCGGGCTCACTCCGTGTGCTGCAGCCTGCCTCAGGGGTTGAGCCTCCTGGGACTTGTGCTGTGCAGCAGCTGTTTGTGCTGGAACTCCAGTCAGACACAGAACCTCAGGACCTGCTCATGGAAAGGCAGGTGGGAGAGGGACACCTCAGGACAGAAACCAGTCTGTGTGTGTTGTACTGCCAGTAGTTCTGACTTTAAAACCAAGCTAGGAATTTGCAGCTTAATAGCTGCTTCACTTCAGGGACAAAAAGTAATGTAATATTTCAGGTCTGATGAAGCTCTGACTCTGGAAAAATTACTTTCCATTGCTTTTATGAGTGCTTTGACAAAGCAAATGAGGAAAAATGATGGGCAGTTAGGGGCAAAACATCTTACATGTGGGTTTATGCTCTAACCTCAAAAGTGGAAGTCTTTGGGCATAATATAATTTTATCTGCCAGAACAACCATTGCAAATATTCCAGTGAAAGTGAATAACTCAGGAGGTTGAGAGCATGATGGGTTTTGCTTTCCCATTCTTGGCCATGTAGGAATTCAACCTATAGTTTCCTACCTATTAAAGCTCAGATTTAAAGGTCGTAAATATTTATGTTTGAGCTGCTGGGGTAACAGAAAGCAGATAAAAGGGTCTGGCTGTTTACCTTCACTAGGCTTAGGAATCTTCTGTAAAGTAATGCTAAGTCAAAAATATTTGTGTTAAATTCAGTTCAGATTTTAAAGGTTTCAGCCTTGAGGTATATTTTCAGCAAGTAATCTATTGGCTCTGCTAGGAGGAAAAAGGTGATTGATGGATTTTCTTACTATGATATGTCATACAAATTTGTAGAAGCCATGAACACAGAGCAAGAGGTGCCTTCAGGGGGGAGAGGTGCACAGAACCATTACTTGGGTTCAGCCAGAAACTGTGAGCATAGGATTAGTACACAAATCATGTCTCTTACACATGAAAAATGCCACTCATGAAAAATGTAATTTTGATTGAAAAAATACAGAACTGACTCCTCCTCCCCCATGCCTTGTTTTATTCTAGACAGAAAAGTTGCACCTAAGCCTAAATTAAAAAGAGAAGTCTGTTAGGGTTGTATGTTCCGTCAGAGCACGGTCACGTCTGCCAAATCCAGGGAGAGCCTCAGTGGGATCATCTGTATTAATGGATTAAATCATTAAACAGGTCACTGTTTTCCTTTTACAAGGTTTTTGTTTAACCAGATTTAAGGTGCCCCACTGGAAAGGAAAGATGCACAGTATTTAAAAGTCCCGTGCACAGCAGGCTCTGATTTCAGTCAGTGCAGCCACAGTGAGGCACAGAGCTGCACACATGGTCACTGCAGATGAGCAGCTGAGTGGATCCTGTGGAAGCAGATCTGTCACTCCCAGGTTTTCACAGGCATATGCTGCTTCCAGTGAGAAATGGAACTTTAGCATTTAGTGATCACTGAAAGCTAATAAAAATAGGTCCTTCTCCCCTGCTAAATACAGCTGTGTCCTGGGGTGGGGCTCTGTCCTGCTGCCTGCAAATCCCTCTTCTCCTGAAGAGCCAGATGCTGGAGGCTCTGCAGTGTGAGCTTGGAGGATCTCAGCCCCTGGAGTTCCCTGGGTGTGGAGGGGTGTGTTGGTTCTTGGGTTTATGTGCTGTGGTTTGAATTAGGCTAGAATGGAAGCTAAATGCCAGTATTAAGATAAAAGTCCCTGTGGTTCATCTACAGATTGCACATAAAAATGTTCTTCCTGTTTGAGCCATTTTATTGTGACAACTGGATTTAACATCTGCCTTAAGGAAGAGAGGGAAACGTGTGTTAAGGCTTCTCCAGTAAGTGTTCACTGACTCCTTCGGAATGTTACGGCACTGAAATGATTTATATTGCCTCACAGTGCCATGAATAGGCTGCAGGTTATTCAAACCAACAAACACAACCCCCTACAGGCAAAGCCCAAAAGATGTGTTGGCCATAGTAAGGTTGTGTTCTGTAATGCTGCAGAGAACTGGAGCAGCCTCGTGGCCTGGGCAGTGTGCAGGGCTGGAGCACCCACCCACAGCCTGCCCGGGTTTGTCTGAGCTGGGCACCCTTCCCTTGGCACACAGTGGGCTCCTGGGGCAGGAGCTGTAGTGTGGGAGGTGCTGGTGGCACTGGGAGGCAGCTGGTCTACTGGGATTCCTCGGCCAGACAGAGAACTGAGGACAACTTCATACCAAACACTTTATTACTGACGCTCGTTATTTACAGTATTTACATATTGCACGTTTGCTGGAATGTTTTGTACATTTAGTATAGAAAGTAAATTAATGGCAGCTTGTGTCTGTGTACAAAATCCATGCTCCACTGTCCCAGAGAGGATGTCTACCTGGAACTGCGTTCCTGTTCGTCATGCAGTTTGTACTCCTAGGGTACAATGTGACCCCAATGCAAGTCTGTTTTAACCAAACTTGTAGAAAGTTGCATAAGCATGAAAGTTATCAAGTGACCACAACTACTGTGGAGCAGATCTTTAGTAGGTCTAGATATACAAACAAACATTCCTTGAAATTGTAGAGTTAAGCAATAGAACATCAACTTTCTTGGTGAAATATTCGTGTTTACGTCATTTTTGGCAGCATTACACATCGGTTGTAAAGTGTGTTCTGAGGGATGGAGCACTGAGTACCACTGGCAGTTCTGCTACTGTAAAGAATGTCAACCTGCAAACTGTTGATGCCATACAAAACACATGGTAGGAGAATTACGGGGAGTCGTCTGTCGGTCTGCAAAAATAAATCTCTTGTTCACAATGGAGTATGCTAAAAGGTAGTAAGTTCTGTTTCCCTGTTGGTTTCCAAGGCACTTCTCTTGGTTCTTGGTGTTTCTTGTCATGGGAGTAACATCTGGTGGCTTAAAAGAGAGAAAAAAATTGCCTTTCATTGTCTTTTGTACTGACACGTGTTTGAGAATCTGTTTATCATAGTGCAAATAAAACTGGAGAATTCACAGAATCACAGAATAGTCAGAGCTGGAAGGGAATCCTTGGGGCTCACCCAGCCCAACCCCTGCCCTGCACAGACATCCCTGACAGTCACACCCTGTGCTGAGAGCATTGGCCAAACACCTCTGGAGCTCTGTCAGCCTTGGGGCTGTGACACTGCCCTGGGAGCTGTTCAGGGCCCAAACACTCTCTGTAATAACTTTGGAAAGATCCAGTAGTGCATTTCTGATTTAGCTTAGTTCATATCAACCTGACTGTTAAATTAATGCTTTGTTTGTTAATCAAGGCTGAAATTTTGGCAAGTATCCCTTTTTGTGCTGGTTTATTGTAGGTAGATGAGGAAAATTCAAGTTCTGCCTATTCAAAATGTGCTGATAGGTCTGTCCTGTCCTGTCCTGTGAGTGCAGCTGTGAAGTCAAAAAGTGAATAAACAGCAGGAGTAGCATTAGAAGATTGCAAATTTCTGCCTTAATGTATTGGTCTCAAGAAGCTATTGGTAGAATGTCCAGTTGGAAGGATCTAGGAAGGATCTGATGTTTCACTGGGTCCATTTGTGAAGAAACTTGGATTCGTATAAACAAGAAACAAATAGAAGTAAATTTCTGAGATTTGGTTGTATAAATAGAGCCCCTGGAACGTGCAAACACTGAGCAGCACAGGCTGAGCAGGGGCTGCAGTGGTTCCATTAACTGTTCTATTAACTCTTCCCAGAGTAGTTTCTCAGGATGAAACTAAACCTATTTCTGGGATACTCATCTCAAAATCACTGAGTCAAAATAGAGGTTTCCACATTGCTCATGTACATCTCTTGTCTGTACTCCAGAAATGCTGATTCCAAGGCTGAGCAGTGAAGATTCTCACAACCCTTCTTCCCACAGCTCCTAAGCAAACAGTGTGACAGTGCACACACCTCTTTCCTGTTGGCTGAGCATGGTAACTCCCGTGGTCACTGAGTTCTCTGGTACTTTGGCTTGCTCTGCATTTTCTGCTGCTTAAATATAATTCGTAATAGAATCATTTGGATGCAGAGTCAGTTGCACTTGACAAAGCCATTGGAAATCAAGCTATTGGTGCATACAGAAATACTTGTTAGTAGTATTTAAACATTTAGTTTTGCAGGTTTTGGAAGCTATTAGGAAATACAATAATGTTACAGAAAAGCTTAACGTGATTTAGTTTCTTACTGGCTTCGCAGATAGGACAAATCCTTTTCCTTAGAGGGGAAGCTGATGTAAACTTTGATTTCATCTAGCTTACTTTGTGTCTGTCAGCTCCCACTGAACCCTGTGTAAGGGTGATGTTCAGAAGACATGGGCATGCTTGTGGTGCCACTGACAGATGCTGAGTTTGTAACAGAGTTTTTCATTGCTGATGGGAACATGCAGCTCACTGAGGCTGAAGCAGTGGGTAGGATGCTTGTTTGTCCCCTCATCTGCACCTGCCTTTGTATGGCTGTCTGATCAGGAGCTGTGGCTCTTCAATTCCCAGTGCTCAGCTGCAGTACAGTTTTCTAAGCACCTGGAACTTTCAGAAACCCTTGAGAAGGCCCAAGATTTTAGCATTGATAAATCTGTTGAGATTTTAAAAGAAAAAAACCAGTTACTTTTCATTATTTTTCAATGGGAACTGTTAGGGAGCTGGGAGCAGAATGAGGCTGAGGAACAGGACTCTAGCCTAGCTGTGCTGACCACGACAAGGGGCTACAGGCTGAAATGAATCAGTGCTGGTGGCAGCCAGGGAATATGGCCTGGGCTGCTGACTGGGGAAAAAACTGCACTACTGAGTGGTGTGGCAACGCAAATCTGCTGCTTTGGCTTCACTCATGCAATCTCAGCAGGCTGCAGGGCTGTTACTGGGTCCCTGCACTGCTCATGGCTGGGTCAGACCCTGGGAACAGGCACTCTGGAAACAGGTGAGGTGGAGCTCAGTTAAATGTGTGTCACATAACCGAGAGAAGTGAAGGCTCCCTAAGACACATTGTACCACCAACACACACAGACACCACTTAGGTGTGTGCTGTAACAGTAACAGATGTCCAATTCCTGTCTTACTTTCTTGTTTGATCTTAGCTCTGAGTTTCAATGCCTTGTGTCCTTGAAAGCTGTGATAGTCCAGAATGCATTTTAAATACAAACAAATCTCTTTTCTCTCGCCAAGCTGATCTCTAAACACGGGGAGATGTCCACAGATCTGAAAAATGCACAAAAAGTGCTAGCTTGCCAAAGCAATAATTAATCTATAGCCCAGCCCACTTATAAGCCTCCAATGAAATGAGAATCAGATACTGAGCAAAACAGGAAATGTAATTTGCTAGTGAAAAAACACCAGGCATGGACAATTCAGAAGGTGTTATTTTGGTGGGTTATGGTACAGGAGTTTGACTTGTAGCCTTATGGCAGAAAGCAGAAGTGTCTGCCTCCTACAGACTGTAAATGAAGTCTTGGTGCACCAGAGAGCATCTTAAGTCAGAAGTGGCTTTGACATCTCTTCTCACAGACTGTAAATGAAGTCTTGGTGCACTAGAGAGCATCTTAAGTCAGAATTGGCTTTGACATCTCTCCTTTCTATGTGTAAGTGGGACTACATTCAAAACCTTGCAGCTTCTGGAAAACAACTTGCAGTCATGCTAACTCTACCCTTTGTGGAGGAAAAGGATCATTTAACACAGGCACAAGTACAAACCCAACATGTTTTTCTACAGCTCAGTCCATCAAACGATGGAGACAAACAGAGCCTGCACTGTCCCTTCCTGTGAGAGGGCAAATCTCAACCACTCAGCCTGAACTTAGGCAGTGGAAAAGCTCTGAGGGGAAAGGAGGCTTAATTTTCTGGAGGCACCTGTGAATCTCGAGGCACATGTAGGGAATAGTCTTCCTTTCTACTAACAGAGGTTGCTGAGGAACTCTCCACTCCTGGTTTGTGTCTATGTGGAGAATGACCCAAGTGGAGAGTTGTTATTGATGTGTGAACTGGTGCCTGCTGGTTGTCAAAGGTCTTGTGTGGGCGATGGAATTTTTTAAAATGGCATTTTTAGAACTGTGAAAAATTTAATTTAAAAACCATGGCATTTTTAGAACTGTGAAAAATTTCATTTAAAAAATAAACTTTTTTAAAACTCTGGGAGAGAAACGTGAACTACTTCACTTACTGTTCCCTCACATGACAAGTTCATGTTTACCTAACAGGATGCTAAGATAAAGCTCAAACTTTCTGAGGAAGGGGACTCTGCTACTCTGATATAGCTGCTCATCAGTAACAGCATCATTCACCTGTTTGCAGAGCTGAACAGCTTAGGTCTTATTTATCCAGACAGACAGATAGACAAGACAGACAGGATGGCCTGTAGCCACCCTTTATGAAACTGAATGGCTTTACCGTGTGTTCCTGCAATTGTCTTTTCTTTAGCTTAAACAGTTCCAGTTCCTTTAGCTGTCCTCAGGACCTGAGTTCTCGGGGCCTTTGCTCATCCCTGGTGCTCCTCTCTGGACTCTCACAAGGAGCATCCACATGTCCTCAGTGTGGTGCCCCGAATTAAATGCAGTATTCCAGTAACAGGGATTATTTCAGGGTTTCATAAACAATGATCCTATTTACGAATTCCAACAGGGTTTCATAAACAATGATCCTATTTACAAATTCCAACATGTTGTCTGACATTAAATTCTCAGGTGTGGCATGTCTGACTTGCTTAGTTTACCATCCACCACAGCCCCTACGTTTTGGACAGAACTACCTGTCTAACTGTTCACAAAATGCCAAGTATTCCTACAGCATCATTCTGCTCTTTACATTTTTTCCTGGCTTTAGGCTATTTGGCTTATTTGCCAGCATTCTTGTACTCTATCATGGTTGCTTGTACACTACTGTAATCCATGCACACAGTCTTTATCACCCAAGTTATTGATGAGGATACTCAACAATCTCATGCCCATATTGAAGCTGTGACACTGCTCAATGCATTTTGCCAGTTTTGACAGTGAAGCACCAACAACTTATTTGTGTATCTTTTCCCACTCATTTTTACATTTGTCTTGATCCCATTTCCCCAGGCTGCCTGCAAGAATGCCATGCAAACAGAGCCAATACTTTAAAAAATAAGCTTAAATGCTTAATATTTATTACTTTTTCTCACTGTGGATTTCCTCACAGAGTTAAAATAGCTTGGTTTGACAGCATTTGTTACTGAGTCCATGGGGTGATTGTTTATCCTTTTGTTACAGGGATAAGGGGATATCTTTGTCTCAGGTAAAAGCTAAGGACAGGATGTAATTAGTCCTTTTTTATTCTTATGTGACAGTCTTCTAAACACAAATAGTTTGGAAGTACCTTCTGGTTTAGTTGGTTGGCTTTTGTTTTTGTTTCCCAAGCATTTGTGGGAAGCAGAGCTTGTCAAAAAGAGAGGAAACAAATCCATAGGCATGAGAGGAAATCCCAGGAAACCTAAGTCGCCTAAAGTGAGGTTATCAGTGCTGCTAATGGTGCACTTTAATTGAGCTGATGCGTAAGCACCTGCAAGCTCTCTGCCTTTCCGAGGGCTCCACCTGCACCCATGACTTTTCGTGCATGAAACACCAAGGCCACTGCTTTGCTGTGTGGTGGGATGTCCCGACTGCCAGGGGAACCTTACCTTTATCCTTCCATGCACATCGGGCTCACTGCCAACCGAGTAAGAAGCCTGGCACATCTTTTGTAGTCTGCCATGAAAAAAACACATAAACAGATTACCAGAGCAACCAGTTTTGCCTTTAAAATTCAAAATTTACATCAGTGTGCTAACTGGTGTCATCATAAAGTTCAGTGAATACCTTAGTTAGCAACAGAATAGAAATGGAGTCCTCAGAAATGGAGTGTGGAAAAACTGTGTGACTGAAAGTCAAGTCTAATGGCACATGTGACTACAACGAGTTCTGTCTGTCTGCAAAGAGCAGGATGTGCTGGGAGGGTCTCCAAGTGTGTGTGTGCATCAGACTTCAACACCTGTGGCTGTGCTCATGTCTGGGAGCCAAACATGTGACTGCAGAGTTTCTGCACTAGAGGCAGAAAAAGTTTCTGCACTAGAGGCTACAAGTCTCTCAGCTCAGTGTGGAGCAATGCCACTCTCCAGTGGAGTTCCCTCCTGGGAAAACTGGATAAAACCATCTCCTGCTCATAGGAGTGCTAAGTCCAGCCCAAACAGGTGACCACATCATAAAAATCCATTCATAACCATATCAAGTTTCACCTTAAAACTAGTAAAATTAGTTTTTCCGCTGTAGTCCTATGAGTTGTTTGTATTTTAGGCACTTTCTTCTTTTTGATGCACTTATAACTAGGGCCAGAATCAACACAAAACTGAGAAAATCCATCAAAAGGGTTTTCTCGTTAACATGACAAACTGAAAGCGAATGTAGCAAAATTGGGTTACGAACAGATAGCAAAGTACTTTAGTTTCTAGGTGCCAGTGCTACTGCCCTGTACAAAGCACTAGAAAGTATGCCCACAAAATGCTCTTGCACTGCCTACCATCATGCTGCAGCATCAGAGATGCTTTTAATTTCTTTTAATTTGTTGTTTGGCCTCTGAACTCCTACAGAGAATGACCAGTATTACCTGAGGTCAGAACAGTACCAAGAACTGACATCACACTGTGCACGGGGGGTGAAAGCAGCCTGGTTATCTCATTTTCCTAGAAGAAAGTCACTGTGAGGAGCTGCTAATTAGCCCAGTCTGGTAACTGAGGTTGATTTTGGTTAGGCATTGTTTCATTAATGAGTAACTGTGTCTGGTGGTTCCTAGGGATGCAATGGTAACAATCCCTCACTCACAGCACAGTTATGCTGTAGGTGCCATTCATACATTTCTCCTCTATTATCCAGACATCATGTTGGTGGGCATGACCTGCCAGAAGGAAAAGGCTCATTTAGACTGTCAGACCAACAAGTTTTTAGCTTCACTGCTTAGGGTACTCGTTAGTGCTGAGCCAAGTAATGTTTGTGCTGTGATCCTTATGAAAAGGTCCTATGACCATTTGCTTGTTCAAAACAGACAAGTTATGATCAACTTACATTTCCTCCCATGCACAGAGTGTGACCTGGTCTACAAATCCTTGTCTTTCCAAGGAATTCATAATCTGAAGCCTTACAAATAGGGAAAGCGCCTACGGTTCTTACCAAATATGCCTTTAAAATATATTGGGCTGAAATATTTATTAATACTTGAAACTTGGAGTCTGCAGCTCTTGTTTCTATTCCCAGCCCTGCCACTGACCCAACTGTGTGACCTCAGACAAGTAAAATAAAGTGTGCTTCCACCCTGAAAAGGCTGCACTAAAATAGCCTCTGCTTACTCAACAGGTCCACTCAGTGTGAACCTGGAGTCACATCTACTGACTGAACAATGTGTTCGAATTTTGATTCAGTTCTCTGTGCTGCCAACAGCGATGAGATATCAGGACCTGCATTTGCTTATTTGTGCCCATCAGAACTTTGATTTTTTTATTATTTTACTAAGCCTTAGGAAGTTATACTTTGGTAATTCACTAAAGACAAGTGTTGCAAAGATTCATTGTCAGCATCACTGATAGATTGGTAGCTGAACAGCCAAACCAGAAAATGTCTATTAGAAATGTTCTCCATACATAACCAGTGAAAAGCAAACAATCCCGCCTGGATTTCTGATCCTATCTTGGATTTGCAGCACTAGGAGTTAAATCTGAGACGTTTGTGAGAGGAGCTGTGTTCCCATGAGAAGCCAGCACTGGGTTTGGCTCCGGGGAGGCAGATACACCCGTGCCAAACACAGTGTTTGGGCCATTCACACAGGGTTTCTGCAGCGAAACACTTGTGTTTCCACTGCCCTCACTGCAGTGCTGACGCTGTCCTAGCAGCGCTGCAAAGCATCCTCAGTACATCTCAGAGCACTCCAGACTCTGCACTGCAAGGGCCTAACATTGCATCACCCCTGGGGCCTGACAGAGCTCTAAACGTCAGGGTTTCCCTTGGGTTCAGGCCAGTCTCTGCTGCTGGCACTTACATGCTGGAATGGTGCAGTCCCTGGTATTGTGATAAAGCCGATGAAAGTGTTTGCTGCATTTTGGGCTGAAGTAGAGTGGACCTGAAATAGAAAGAAAAAATGAGTTCTGAATCAGCACAGCTCACTGTGTGCACATGAAGGGTTGGAGAGCAGTGCACAACTCAAACATACCTGTTAAATGCTTTAGGAACTTGTCTTTCATCCTCAGATCTCTGGGAACGATTTCTGTAGGACAGAGGAAAGAACAGTCACTCTGCTGCACTAAGCACAGTATGAGGACAGGGAATACTCTACCCAGCAAACATCACCACTACATCTTCACAGGTGCACAGAGGTCAAAAGTCCTTTGCATACAGTTGGCCAAATTGCAAGCACTTGTTTTATGCAGGAAGCCACTGTAAAATGCTCTGTGAAACACAGTGTGAGGGTGAAACAAGCAATGCCTGTTAGGTATGCAGTCATTAGTGACAATGATGATTAACTGACAGACAGATTTGAGCTCTCTGTGAACATGTAACATTGTTGAGTTTACCTAGATTTAAATTCTTCCAGAAATTTGAGCTCGTGGTTGCTCAGAAAGAGCATATTATGCTGGTGGTAAAGACTCAAAGCTATACTCAAGTTTGGGTTTGTGGCTTGTAATTCCCTTATGCAGATGTACCCACTGCTCTGTCCCAGGTGTGTTTGTACACGCACAGTTCTGCTGGATTGATCTGCTTACAGGAATTTCCTTCCCTCCCGTTTAGCAGTAAATAAACTTCACAGGAAATGATGCTGAGCAAATTGCTCTCCCTACATTTGTGGTTTGCTGCCTCGCGGTCTGCGTTCGGCAAAGTGAAACTGGTTTACTGAAATCCATTTGAGCCCTGACGCTGCTGTGACTTGCTGATTTACAGCTCCCTCTGATTGCTTTCCGTCCCCAGCTCGGTGCTGATGGTGCACGATGCCCTGCACGGGGCTCTATTTGTTTGACCAGAAGTGCCTGGGCAGCCTTTTCGCTCCCCTGGCTCCTCTTAGCAGATAGAAAGCAGAGAGTGTTTCCATTCAGATCTGATTCACTCCTGAGGTCAGACACTTCTCGAAAGTCATTCTTCATTTACTTCTAACTTTAGTCCGTGTAAGTAAAATTGACCATACCGTGTTTGACCTAATTATGTCATGAAGAGCATTAAAAACACACATGCTTCACTCAGAAATTTCCCATGGGACATCTCACTGGCAAAAGCGATGCCAAACCTGAAATGAAAGACTCTAACTTTCTGGGAATAACTCCATTATAACGAGAGAATGAAAAACCCTGCTCAGGAGTCAATAACAACACTGCCAACTAATCTGCAAAGCAGGTTTATTAGTTTCATCAGCAGCACCAGCCAGATGTGCTGATGGAAAGACCGAAAACACTACAAGAACTGTGACCAAAAGCTGCAGCCACGTGCCAAGGTGAGATCTAGAGCTGTGCAGATCAGGGTTCCCTGCTCAGTTTCAGCAGTTAGAAACCAAAACGTTCTCCCCATGCTGATCGTAAGTAGAACAAAATCATCTTCCCTTGTATGTTCATTAATCATCCAGATGGAGAAGCAACATTTGCATGACAAGCAGCAATAAATGCTATCGTGAGGACATTTGAACGAGAGTGAAGAAAAGGTACAGTGAAGCTCTATGAGATCAATAAACCCCAAATGAATAGCACACTAGAAAATGAAAGCCAGTTTGGAGAAAGGTGAGCAGACATCTGCTGGGAAATATTCAGGAGTCACTTTGAGCGGGAGGGGTAAGATGAGCAGCCCTAATGCTGCTGGGCTGGGAGTGACAGGGAACAGTTAGACAAGGCAGCAGGAGAAGCCAAATCAACTTCCAAATGGATGCACAGAAGTACATCAGAAAACTGAGCGGGAATTATCCATCACCGTGTGGCTCGGTACTGGTACTCCTGCACTGCTCTCTGCACCCGGAGCATCTCAGACAGGATCCTGGGCTGTCCCAGGAGGTTAGAGAAGAGCCAGTCAAACGGGCTGAGGACTGCAGGAGTGTCCCAGTCTGCTCACAGCTGTACAGTGACAGGAGTGTTTCAGTTCCCTCCCACTTCAAAGGTGCTACCTGTGGAGTGCAAGAGGAACTAACGAGCGGAGCAAAAGGTTTAACGAAGCTGAGCTGCAGGAAAGACTCCTAGATCTGAGGTCTTTACAGTCCTGCAAGGGAATTCTTGCTAAGGTCACTTCCAGGAAACACTTAAACCAAGCACATTACAGTAAGTGGTAAACTTCCAGGAAAAAGAGTGTGTCCATCCCTTGTTTCTTTGATTGCAACCCATTTCAGTCTTTTCCCTTATTAATAGGTTTCATTCAAAGCCACAGGAAGTTGGACTTCCAGCTGAGTACATTATCCAGAGAGTGAAAGACTCCGAGATGTGAACGGAGGTTTCCTACTCCAAATTTGCCATCTGTGTCTGTTTCTGATACCAAAGGGAATCTGCAGGTATTTTGAGCAGAGAATTCCCAATATAAAATTAGCAACCTGATGCGATGTCTCATTCACCAGGGCACTCTGGGGAAAAAAGAGATCCCTTATGTCATGGACCGTGACTTACCGACTCTCTGCTCGTCCTGGTATCCTCCGTAGTCAGCCACTTCCCTTCGGTCCAGGGTGTAATCATGCTTGGAGAGGTACTGCATCCCACTGTCCTTCTCCAGGTGGTACCTTTTCAGTTCCTGAATGATCTCCATGATCAGATTTAAGAGACTTTGCTTGTCCTTCAAATCTCCAGAGTCGGTTTTCTCTTTGCAATATCCTGCTGAGAGCATTAAGAGTACCAGCCCCAGCAGCCCAGGAGACCTCAGTCCACTCATTGCAGTCCGACCTGAGAGCACGAGGGGATGAAGAGGAAGGATCCGCTGCTGCGGGAGGCCTCCCGTTTAACTGGAAGAGAAAATCGGGGGGCGGGTCGGAGGTGGGGAGACTTGTAGGGGTGAAATCCGAAACACGACGGGAGGAACGAGAGCAGAGCGCTCCGCGGGCGAAGGCACAGAACGCGGAGCGGCAGAGGGAGCAGCAGAGGGAACAACAGGGGGAACAACAGGGGGAACAACAGAGGGAACAGTGCGGGGAACAGTGCGGGGAAAAGCAGGGGAGCAGTGCGGGGAGCAGTGCGGGGAACAGCAGAGGGAA